ATGGGGTCATTAAAAGATGATGATAATGATGCATTTTTATAAGCCATGTTTTGATGGGAGAACCACACTGCATTGCTCAGATAAATGTTAAATGCCAAAGTATTATGATGTTTCCCGTTTAAAAAAATCTGAAGATCTTTTTCAGTTTTAGTATATTTTGATCACAACCATGTATGATTTTCATTGTACTATTATATTATATGATGATGATTGTTTTATTTTACCAAATGAAACATTTTTAATATGCATATAGGTTCAGGAAGAACAGATTAAGTTAAATTTGCACTGAAATGCAAACCAAAAAGCTTCAGTAAGTTTTTTTTATCAGTGTAGTGATTTATAAAAGCATATTACCTATATCATTCAACTAAATACTGCACCATCCCCCCACCAAGAACTTAATTGTAAATCAGTTGGTCATTCTGATATAAATGGCAGTTTGCTTTATTTAGGCTGAAAATTTGGGGTGTTGAAGCCCAATTTATCCAAAAGGCACAATTTGGGAAAGCAATGTTGATTTGTGAAGGTATTCTAAATATCTAAACATCTATCATTATAATTGTTTCATTCTTTCTTCCACACGAAGGATATTGTATAAAGGGTAGGTTGGTGTGTAACACAGAAGATGAGTGTGGTGACTTCTCTGATGAAGATAATTGTGATGAAACCAAACGCCCACCTTGTGGGAATCGTGACATTGACGTATCAGAACTTGGAAGAACAGCTGGCCAAGGGTGAGCTTTAGAAAATTCGTCACAAAATCTCTAAAACCATAAAGCCTACAAACTTGAAATTTGGCACGTATGTTCCCCTTGGCTTCTAGGCACTCGCTATTTTTCAAAATGCTAATAATTAGTATTTCTTATATTATTATTAACATGTTCTGATGCCAAGGAGTTAGATGTTCTACTCCCCTCTCCCCACCTGAAAAGAACTCTGTTCCAAGTATACTGGGCGTGGCCAGCATGTCCGTGTGGGTGTGGGCATCTTATCTGGCCTGCGACTGGGAGTTTAGACATTCTACTCCCCCCCCCACCTGAAAAATTATCTGATGCTAAGGAGTTAGACTGAGGGAGAGAAGGGGATAAATTAGGAGAGACTTCCGTTGGNTGGAACCTCTTCTGTAGGTGTGGCCTGCTTTCCGGGTCCACTGGTGGAACCTTTTCTAACCAGTTCGGTAGATTTGACGAACCGGTTCTACCGAACTGATGCGAACCTGTAGGAACCCACCTCTGGCCGGCACCCAAAATGCAAAGCGATGCCCACATACATGTACAAATCCCCACCATGTTCCCCTCATGTGCACCGCACAGCTTGCCTTCAACCTGAGCTTGGTATTTCCTCGGGGGTGGGCAGGGGAGGAAAGCCTCCGGAGCCTGGGGTGGGAGAAAATGGCCTCTCCCTCTGGATGCCGGAAACGGATTATGTCCTAACTTCTGGTCGGCCCATTGAGCCTGTTTTTTGCCCTCCACAGGCTCCGTGGGCTTTCCTGAAGTCCAGGGAGGGCGACAACGGCCTCCCCCCGCCCTCCGGAAGGCCAGAAGTCAACTGGCTGGTGCACGCATGCGCGCTGCAGCTGACAGGTTGTGTGCTGGCAGATATGGCTCTGTGTGCCACCTGTGGCACACATGCCATAGGTTTGCCATCATGGATATATGGCATTTAATAGTACCATGAAATGGTTGTGCATTAATAACATAACTTTTCTTCCTTCCTTTTCTTGAAGTGTGAATGTGTTGGGAATGACACCGGCTCAAAAGCCATTTTACAATGAGTTCTACAATGGCCTCTGTGACAGAGTCCGTGATGGGAACACAGGCACTTATTACCGCAAGCCATGGAACGTGGCTGTCCTCAGTTATGAAGTAAGCTTCTTTGTGTAAAGCAGAGCTTTGTTTTGCATCAAAAGGTGCCACTTTGCCTCAGCCTCCACTTTTAAAATGTCAAGAGTGTGTCCATATACTTTTTTCTTGGCCTAAATGTTACCTAAATGCTTTTCCGTTGCCTTTAGAATGTTCTTTAAAATTGCCTCGTCTAGGTTACATCCCTGGAATCCATTCAGGTCGTCTGCAGTTCTGGTCCCGCTTTGCTTTTTGAGATTAGCCAAGATCAAGGCGGTGCTTTTGTTACAGAAAAGCAAACAGGCAAAAACAAAATGCAGCATTGTCTAGGTGTGTGTGAGTGTGTTTGGGTGGGGGAGAACTAGATCTATAGCAAGGTCCCCCTATGCATATTTGATAATTCAGAGTTCCCATCACAGCGTTGACCATATGCATTGGGATTGACACACCCAGAAATTCCCATCAGCTGTAACCCTTAAATGGCTGAAGGGCATGAGTTATAAATATTTTGTTATATGCTCTTAACACCATAGAGATTTTAAAAAAAACATTTCCTATGCTGCAACAATACAATTGGTGTTCTGTGTGTAGGTGTTTTAATTTATTTGCAATAAAAGCAAACAGTTTAGTTCTTTATCACAAATGTGGAACTTTAGTCATTCAGACATTTACCTGAAGACACTAGGGATCACCACACTGCCAAATTATATTTGTTATTGTTCAGTCAGAAGTCTGAAGAAGAAATAGCCTCACATTGGACTTAGCACCGCTTTATGAGTCTGTTTAGTATAGGCATAGGGAGACAGTGGCTCAGTGGCTAAGATGCTGAGCTTGTTGATCAGAAAGGCCAGCAGTTCAGCGGTTCGAATCCCTAGCGTCACATAAAGGAGCGAGCTCCCTTCACTTGTCCCAGTTTCTGCCAACCTAGAAGTTCGAAAGGATATAAAAATGGAAGTAGAAAAATAGGAACCATCTTTGGTGGTAAGGTAACAGTGTTCCACGCACCTTTGGCGTTTAGTCATGCCGGCCACATGACCACAGAGATGTCTTCGGACAGGCCTCTTTGGCTTTGAAATGGAGATGACCACCGCCCCCTAGAGTCAGGAATGACTAGCAGTTAAGTGCGAGGGGAACTTTTACCTTTACCTTAGTGTAGGAGAAACCAATTCATATACTTTTCACCCCTCACAGGTTTTGATGATTTTTATGGCCCCAGATATACAGTTCAGGGTACGCAGAGCAATCTAAAGGTCTCCTAATTTTGGAATTGTGATGGCAGCATAGGATGATCTCAAAGTGATCATTCAAAATATATTCCAGGGATGTGGACAGAGATGTGTCCATTCCAATAGCTCCTGGCATCTCTGCTGAAAGTTCATTGGCTCTTGATCCACCACTAGACATAGCCTTCTTCCCTCCCCATGGCCTGTTATAGAAGAACCCTCATTTCCCCAGAAATTGGGATTGATCATTTACATTAAGGAAACTAACAGGAATGGTTTAAAAAATTATAAGCATCCCATACCATTCACCAGTGGTGCTAAGGCAAAAATCTGATTTAACATCTTGTCTGAACTAAGCCCATCATGAGTTACCACAGGGCGTCATCATAGCCTAAGTGTTGTCCACTGTTACTCAGCCATTTAACTCTATATTTTCTGCCTTTCAAGACAAGAGGAGACAAAAAAATTTCAAGTGAATTGTACAGCAACCAAGCATCAACAGTGCAAAATATAGTCAAAACACAATCACACTCTGTAGATGCCAGCCTCTCTCTTAAATTGAAATCAGCTTCGTTCCCAGCTAATTTGAAGACAGGCATAAATTTTTCCAAATCAACCAGCCTGAGTGACTTCTTAGAGAAAACCAAAGGAAAGGTAAGCTGTTAAAACAAAGGTAAATATGAATTATTCTAGAGGAAACAAAAATTCAAACGTCCAAAGGAGCACTGAACCAATGTTGGTTGTGTTCATATTAAATTGGGTTATTGAAATACCAAATGTCTACATTTGCATAAGCTAAGCTTCCTTAATGTTGACCTTGCTTAGAGTGATGCTCACAAATTATTCCCTTTTCTTGGATCTGCTTAGCATATACTCACCTGCATCTCTTCTTCCCCAGAGACTTTGGCTCTACCAAAGTTTCTGACTCTCTATCTGTAACCAGCTGTGTCCTTCCTGACCTGGGTCTTCAGTGTACATACCATCTCTTAGGGACCTTGTTTTTCTTCCTACAGGCAAATCACCTGTTGACTTCTTTTGCCCCTTTTTGACCAAGGGCTGACAACTGGTCTCCGTACTCACATCAACTTTACTCCCCAAATATCTGTCCAGCCATTCCCTTCTACAACATTTTGTTGTTGTTGGCAATTTTTCTCTTCATTCTTCTCCTCTTTTTCCCGTCTCTCAACCTCCATTGTTGGGTTAGACTTGGCAGTATGACTCGCTTCACAGTGCCTTTGTGTACACCTCCTCTATCCAAGGTCTACCGGTATTGGTTAGCAGCTATTTCAGCTCAACAACACACAGGATGGAACACCTGAACTTGTGTAGGCTAGACTGGAGCTTTTTCTTCTCTTTTTCTCTTTCTATTTACTGAGTCACATCAGCACAACAGTAACCATACAACAAAGCCACTAAAAACATATGTGATCTTAGTGTCTTTCATCTAGGTCTTAATGTACAAAACTTAGAAGAAATTTCCTGACAGTTAGATCAATTAACCCAGTGGTAGTCAACCTGGTCCCTACCGCCCACTAGTGGGCG